CTCATATCATCCATACCATTAACAATTCATTTACCAAAATTTGGTTTCATATTATAGCATAGTTTAAAAGATCAACAATAAGAGCTCAATCGCAACTTTTACATAAATTTGCAAACACTTCCAAAATTAATTAAACTTGTATATGTGCAATTTAACACCTCAATTTCATGATTCTACATTCACTTTAGGCAAAACCATCAATCACCTTCATCTACCAAGCTAGGGTTTTAAGAGAGATTAAAGCTTTTCACCCAGACATTTTTTTTTATTCCAACTCTTCTATTAATTATACACCCAAATTCATAAGTCCATAATCATAACCCAACAAGTGAACCCCAACATTTCAAACCCTAAACCCCCAATCTCATGATTTATCACAATATGCTTAAAAATATAAATTTTGTATTTATATAAAGAAAATACCACAAATCTATCTACAAATGAGAGTATTGAAGGAGAACTAGAAACCCCTACCTCTTGAAGCGAAGAGAAGACAACCCAAAAATCATCGGTGACGAAACCATGAACTATTCGGATCAAAAGAAAGCCCTTGATGAGATCCACAATCTTTCTCAAAGGACCAAGGTGAAAATATCACTCTAGGTGAGTAGATCTAAAGATCTTAAGTGAAAAAGTTTGAGTTTAGAGAGAGAGGAGAACTCACGGTGTAGAGATGAAAAAGAGAAAGAGAGAGGAAAAAAAATAATGAGAAAAGTGTGTTTGAAGCCTATTTATAGTAGTGGAATATTAACCCCAAAGTCAAAGGAAAGAATAAGTCTAAACCCCCAAAAGTAGGTCCCAAACCGCAACCAATAATTTGAAATTTTACTCACTGGGTCGACCCTTCAGACAAAGGTGTCGACCTTTCAGGAAGAAAAGCTAAGACACTAATATGTACAAAGGACAAGGGTTGACCCTTAGAACCAGTGATGTCGACCCTTTATTTCAGAATGCACCCAGGACAAAACAGCAAGGGAAGGGTCGACCCTAGGAACTCATGTGTGAACCCCAAAAACCAGCACACTAAGAGCAAGGAAACAAGGTGGTGTCGACCCCCAAGAAGGCAATGGTCAACCCCATAACAAATTTTCAAAATTTTCAAAGAACTTTCAACGTAAACAAGAATGAACGAACAATCCCAGCATATTTAAATCGAATTGCACTCCTCCAAAACCAAGATACAACAACTCCAAAGACTCCAAAAATGAAATAAAGGATTTAATTACACTTCCGAATAGTTTAAAGGGCACAAGTGCTACGTACAGTGTCTAAGGCCTAAACCGCCAAATCTATGAGGACTTACAACAATACAAGCATAATATTCAAACATGAATGAAGTAAACACATCAAAACAGTCCTAAAACTCACTAAACAGTGCTAGAAAATCAGTTTGAAAGGCTAGAAAAGGTAAGCAAAAGAAGAGGAAAACAAAACTAGTAAGCAAGCTCAAGGAAGGGTGGCTAACCCCTCCTCTTTTTTGGCCTTAAAATTACATGTTTTAGGCTCTTAAAACTCTAAAAATCAGTGGCTAAAAATTGAGAAACAAGTGGGAAACACAAGGATAAAAGCTTAATGAACAAGGTTCAAAGAAGGGTGGTTAACCCCTCCAGTTTGTTAGGTTTAAATCACAAGTTTCAGCCCATCAAAATAGTTCAAAGTAGTGTAAAAAATAGCAAGAAAAGAGAAGCAAGAAGTAGTGTAAAGATGGCCAAAGTTATACCTCTTGAAGAGGAGTTACTCTTTTGTTTAGTGTAAAGATGGCCAAAGTTATACCTCTTGAAGAGGAGTTACTCTTTTGTTTACAAACACTACAACAAAAAACATTTTTGGCGACATTTTTTAGCAACCAAACTGAAATTAGTTGCCAAATTTTATGTAATTGGCGACAATTTAATTGTTAGTTGCCAAAAAATTACACTATTGGCGAGGAGTTAAGATTTTTAGTTGCTAAAAGGTTTGGCGCCAAATTAATTTTTTGGGCGGGAGCGCCAAAAATATTTTCACGACCAAATTAACATATAGCGACGAAATTTTGGTGGCTGATTGTAAAGTTTTGGCGACAGAAATGAAATAGTCGCGGAAAAGATGAACGGTACTTATGGCGACCGAAGGATTTTTGTCGCCAATAACTTAGCAAACGAAACTACGTCGTTTTGCATTTTTCAATTTTTTTTTTTTTTAAAGACTGGACCGACCCTTTTATTGAATAAACAAATAAGCTCTAACTCTCCCTCTCCCTCTCCCTCTCCCTCTCCCTCTCACTCTCACTCTCTCTTAATCCACAGCCTCAAGTGGCGCAAAACGGAGGTATGTCTCCCTCTCCCTCTCCCTCTCACTCTCTCACACCGCCTCCTTCTCCTTTTCATCTTCGTCTCTCTTCCTCTCGCTCTCTCTCGCCACCGATTAATTTCCACCGACGGTCCTAAAATCTGTCCTTTAAATATATATTAAAATCCGTCTTTTAAATTTTTTCCCCCTTTTATTGGAATATGTTGCTCTTTTAAATTTTTAACTAAATGCACTTTTATCAACAATGAATTTGAAATTGATTGATTTTTCTTCAAGCATGGAGTGATCTTGTGAGTGAACCCATTGTATTGTTTGTACCAGAATTATCCTATTTATGTATGTTGTAATGCAATTAACTAGGACTGAGAACCCATTGTATTGTCCATCTCCCTCTACAGATGGGCATATGTCTCTCACTCTACAGATGCTATCTCAATATGTCCATCTCCCTCTCTCTCTCTCTGTCTCTCATGGCGATTTCAAGGTCTCGAACCAAAACCCTAAGTTTTCCCCCCCTTTTTTTTAGATTGGAACTTGGAAGATCTTCACCATTCTTAGAAAAAGTTAGAACTTTGTTTTTTTTTTTTTTGTTCTTCTTATAGCAGACCGTTACCCCTCTCTCACCATTCTTGGGATTTTGGTGAATGGTTTGGTTATTTCACCTATGTATCTAGCTATTGTCTATACTTTCATTTTTTTCTTATGTTAGTTTGAAGGGCATCCCCTGCCCTGGTTTGGTTTCAGTGAGTAATGTGAAGCAGTACACTTGAGAACTAATATTAATAAGACTTATACTAATATGCACTTTTACAACTTATATTAATAAGAATTATTTATGATGACATTGACTCATAATTTTCATTATATCTATAGGTGTCCCATGTGGTATTGTTTCTATAGGACAAAATGATATGTTTATAGAAGTAATTATGCATTGGCTTCTGGATATTATGCCTTACTTTCACTGTTTCATGGGTATTAAGGCCTCGTTTGGGAAAGGTCGGTTTAGCCAAAAAGTCAAAAAGTTATTAAAAAAGTCAAACAGCCAACAACCCATACCAAAAAGTCAATGATTCTCTTTTCTCTCTACTTTTTGCAAATCTTTTCGTAGAAAGCCAAAAAGTCATTCCAAACATACTAGTTTTTTTTAACTCATATTGTAGCCAAATAGCCAAAAAGCTACAAAATTAGCCTATTCCCAGACGGGGCCTAAGTGTCATTGTTTGTATTTATTTTGTGGTTCACATGCTTTAATACATTATTTTGTGTTTGAAGAATATAAAGTCCAGCCAACAACCCATACCAAAAAGTCAATGATTCTCTTTTCTCTCTACTTTTTGCAAATCTTTTCGTAGAAAGCCAAAAAGTCATTCCAAACATACTAGTTTTTCTTAACTCATATTGTAGCCAAATAGCTAAAAAGCTACAAAATTAGCATGTTCCCAGACGGGGCCTAAGTGTCATTATTTGTATTTATTTTGTGGTTCACATGCTTTAATACATTATTTTGTGTTTGAAGAATATAAAATCCTATTTATTGTGTACAGAGGATGGTTAGTGATTTTTATATATTGCCAGCTAAATCAGTCATTCCTTCAGAGAATGAGTGGTTCTTCTTTTCTTCTCGTAGAAGAAAGTACCCAAATGGCTCACAAAGTAAGAGAGCAACTGAATCTGGCTATTGGAAAGCCACTAGGAAAGAACGAAATGTGAAGTTAGGATCTAATTTGATTGGCACAAAAAGGACACTGGTGTTCCACACAGGTCGTGCACCAAAAGAGGAGTGGACAAAATAGATAATGCATGAGTATTGTATGAATGGAAATCCTCAGGTGATGGTGTTAATACTTTTTGACAATATTTTATATTCTCATAGATGGTTTGGTTATTTCACCTATGTATCTACCTATGTATCTTAGGTATTAATTAGTTTTTACTTTTAATTAGTACATGGGAAAAATTATAATTCTATTAGATGGAGTAAACAACACTAGTCATTATCGTTTTATTATTATTATTATTATTATTATTATTATTATTATTATTATTTATTTGAATAACTAAACTATTTTCAGCAGCAAAGAGTAGACACAAATATTGCAGATGGCTATGATGCTCTGAATCTGGGTGTGGCTGCTGATAGCCTTTGGTTGTTTTTATTTGTGGTGTTTGGCTTGGGGTTTGATCTTGTAGTTAAAGGTTGGTAATGGTGAAGATTGCATACCTTGCAACAGACATTGGAATTTTAATAAGGTATTCCCTTGGTTTCGTTATAATAATAGAAGAGAAGTGTTCCAACTTTAGGTGGAGGGTTGCAGAAATTGATAATTCTTTTACATTCCCTATTTTGCTTAAATTCAGCAACTTTTGAACTAATTTGGCAGTTACTTGTTCTTGTTTTATTCTTTTAAAGCAACTCTTCACCCCCATCTGAATAGAACGGTGGGAAGTTGTCAACTTCTCTGCTCATTATGATACAAGTCATCTTTCCCAAGAACTTATTAACTGTGGGAGGAACAAGGGCATTGTAAGTACCCTATATTTGTTTCTATGATGGGTATTATTGTTTCAAACAAGCTTTTCTTGATATAATTAATTGTTTTCTTTACATTCAGAATATTCTTTTTTGTCTTGAAGGAAGAACATTAGAATCCTTGATTTTTTTTTTTTAATATTTTTTTTTACTATAATGCGATGTTGGTTGTAGGCATCATGCTCAGGATAAGTGGGTTTGTGTTTGCTTCATGATCCAAGCATCATAGTTTTTGTGTTGCTGCGGTTTTGACAAGTTTCTGGTTATGCACTGGACTTGTTTGTGGCAAGGTCTCAGAGAGGGATTTTGGGATTTTGGGATTTTGGACTTGTTTTGTTTGTACTTAGCTCTTGTAAGTGTTGAATAGATCTGGGTCATCCATTTTTGTGGGGCCCAAAAATAGGTTACCCAGATCTGCTTGTGACATGGCTTCTTCAGATTTTTGATCTTTGGATCCGTTGTCTTTTAAAATGAGGCTTTTGGCTGTCCTATTTGTGTTTCTTCCTCTGTTTGGTTGATTGATTGATTAAATCTGTGTCAAAAATCTTGAGATACAAATGTTAGTTTAATGTGTGTAGGAGGTAAATAAGATGTGGGCAGGTTTTAGGTTATTACAGACAGGCACGATATCTACTAGAGATGAGCTCTTTTTTTGACTCTTGTGCATCTAGATATTTGTAACACTATTTGATATGAATCTATTTCCTGTTGGATTTCATTTGGTATTTAAAAATGGCATTCTTAATGGATAGGATGTGCTCTTTCAAGTTCATTGGTTGACAGCAATGCTAACCAATTTCTTATTCTCTATGGCAAGAGACTCCATGTGAGCTACTAAGGTATTTGGTCTCATGTCTTGCATTTTATGAAATATCCATGTTGGCGTGTCACGTGTTGTATCCTGTCTTTGTCTGTGCTTGTGTCCTTGCTTCTTAGCTCTATTGTTAATCATTTTTTTACTAGTTTCAGTTTCATCAATGCAGCAGATTCTGATGTTGTATCTACTGAATGGGAAGTTGAGAGTGATGATGAAAGTGAGAAAGAATCTAAATGTAAGTTTCTTAAAACCAGAATGCGGCAGATCCTGTGCACTTTCTTATTGGTTATTCCCCCTTTGTAGTATTATTTATTTGAATATTATATATACTTTCCTTTCATTCAGCTCCACTTCTATCTTCATTACCTTCTTCCAGGTCTTATTTACCATTTATCCTATTGACTTGTAATTTTTCTTTTGAATTCCACTGCATGTTGTATGCTTTCCAAATTATTTTGAAGCCTTCTTTGGGTGCATTAGTATTTGGCATTAGCACAAAAGCACCTGAAGCTTCATTTGTTTCTTTCTCTCGTATCTTTGTGTTAGTAAAAAAAATATAACTATAAAGATGTGATGCTTGGGTTGCAAATTGTTCTTTTTCTTACTGGTTTTCTATTTTATCAGTTCAGCTGATTTGTGACTTTTTGCATATTATTGTCCTTATGGTTTTGGTTCCACTTCCTGATATAATTTATGGTATTTGCTATGTGGTGTCTTGGTTTCTTTTGTGAAGATACTCTAATTTTACTTGATTTTGCTTTAATGTCAAGGGTAAGAAATGCTGCTTTGAAGTTATCATTAATCGTAAAAATAAAAATAAAATTCAGTTTATTATTTATGTTTTGTTGTAATAGTTCATAAAAGCTCTGCAAGAGGATCCATCAGCGTTAAAAATACTCACTCAAAGTTGAACTTTACTCATTTTCTCACCTGCAGAATTTTCTTCTTCAAGCTATGTCTCTTAACTGCTTTCTTCATTTTTTTGTTTGCTCTAGGTGGGTTAAGAACTTTGGTTGACATGCCTCTTAACAGTTTTCCATCTACAGTTTCTAAAGAAACTTTTGAACTCAAGGTATGGATGGTTGAACTCAACTTTGGTTGACATGCCTCTTAGCTTCACTTTTTAATTCGGTAGTTAGAAACTTAGCTTCACTTTCATATTCTTATTGTACAAAAACTTGACCAACTATTGCCTTTTCTTGTTATCTTTTTTTCCATCTTGTGGCAAGGTCTCAGAGAGGGATTTTGGGATTTTGGAATTGTTTTGTTTGTACTTAGCTCTTGTAAGTGTTGAATAGATTTGGGTCATCCATTTTTGTGGGGCCCAAAAATAGGTTACCCAGATCTGTTTGTGACATGGTCTCTTCAGATTTTTGATCTTTGGATCTGTTGTCTTTTAAAATGAGGCCTTTGGCTGTCCTGTTTGTGTTTCTTCCTCTGTTTGGTTGATTGATTGATTAAATCTGTGTCAACAATCTTGAGATATAAATGTTAGTTTAATGTGTGCAGGAGGTAAATAAGATGTGGGCAGGTTTTAGGTTATTACAGACGGGCACGATATCTACTAGAGATGAGCTCTTTTTTTGACTCTTGTGCATCTAGATATTTGTAACACTATTTGATATGAATCTATTTCTTGTTGGATTTCATTTGGTATTTAAAAATGGCATTCTTAATGGATAGGATGTGCTCTTTCAAGTTCATTGGTTGACAGCGATGCTAACCAATTTCTTATTCTCTATGGCAAGAGACTCCATGTGAGCTACTAAGGTATTTGGTCTCATGTCTTGCATTTTATGAAATATCCATGTTGGCGTGTCACATGTTGTATCCTGTCTTTGTTTGTGCTTGTGTCCTAACCTCTTAGCTTTACTGTTAATCATTTTTTTACTAGTTTCAGTTTCACCAATGCAGCAGATTCTGACGCTGTATCTACTGAATGGGAAGTTGAGAGTGATGATGAAAGTGAGGAAGAATCTAAATGTAAGTTTCTTAAAACCAGAATACGGCGGATCGTGTGCACTTTCTTATTGGTTATTCCCCCTTTGTAGTATTATTTATTTGAATATTAGATATACTTTCCTTTCATTCAGCTCCACTTCTATCTTCATTACCTTCTTCCAGGTCTTATTTACCATTTATCCTGTTGACTTGTAATTTTTCTTTTGAATTCCATTGCATGTTGTATGCTTTCCAAATTATTTTGAAGCCTTCTTTGGGTGCATTAGTATTTGGCATTAGCACAAAAGCACCTGAAGCTTCATTTGTTTCTTTCTCTCGTATCTTTGTGTTAGTAAAAAAAATATAACTATAAAGATGTGATGCTTGGGTTGCAAATTGTTCTTTTTCTTACTGGTTTTCTATTTTATCAGTTCAATTGATTTGTGACTTTTTGCATATTATTGTCCTTATGGTTTTGGTTCCACTTCCAGATATAATTTATGGTATTTGCTATGTGGTGTCTTGGTTTCTTTTGTGAAGATACTCTAATTTTACTTGATTTTGCTTTAATGTCAAGGGTAAGAAATACTGCTTTGAAGTTATAATTAATCGTAAAAATAAAAATAAAATTCAGTTTATTATTTATGTTTTGTTGTAATAGTTCATAAAAGCTCTGCAAGAGGATCCATTAGCGTTAAAAATACTCACTCAAAGTTGAACTTTACTCATTTTCTCACCTGCAGAATTTTCTTCTTCAAGCTATGTCTCTTAACTGCTATCTTCATTTTTTTGTTTGCTCTAGGTGGGTTAAGAACTTTGGTTGACATGCCTCTTAACAGTTTTCCATCTACAGTTTCTAAAGAAACTTTTGAACTCAAGGTATGGATGGTTGAACTCAACTTTGGTTGACATGCCTCTTAGCTTCACTTTTTAATTAGGTAGTTAGAAACTTAGCTTCACTTTCATATTCTTATTGTACAAAAACTTGACCAACTATTGCCTTTTCTTGTTATCTTTTTTTTCCATCTACATAATAGATCAAGGCTGCGGCAAAGAGGATCTATGTTGATGTTGCTATGCTCTTAGAACTATATATGAGAAATCTCATATTTTAATCACTTGTTTTAATCATAGTAAGGCTGTGCTGCAATGTTAGCAAATAGACTTGTAGGAACAAACGAGACGTCGATTGGATCTCCGGTTAGAAAATTAGAAGGAAAATTATAAAACACAAGACTTAAAATGCCCGTTCGGGGGCCGAAATTTTGAATGACCACTGAAACCACCACGGATAGCCTTTTGAAGCCTAAATAGATTTGTAGGAACAAACAGGACCTGTATTGGATCTCCAATTAGAAAATTAGAAGGAAACTTGTAAAACACAAGACTAAAAAGGCCCGTTCGGGGGCCGAAATTGCGAAATGACCACCGAAACAACTGAAACTTGGCACGGACAGCTTTTTCAAGCCTAAACAGACTTGTAGGAACAAACGGGACCTCAATTGCATTTTTGGTTAAGAAATTAGAAGGAAAAATGTAAAACACAAGGCTTAAAAGGCCCGTTCGGGGGCTGAAATTTCGAAATGACCACCGAAACTTGGCACGTACAACCTTTCAAAGCCTAAATAGACTTGTAGGAACAAACGGGACCTCTATTGGATCTCCGGTTAGAAAATTAGAAGGAAAGTTGTAAAACACAAGACCAAAAAGGCCCGTTCGGGGGCCGAAATTGCCATGTGACCACCGAAACCACCGAAACTTGGCACGGACAGCTTTTTCAAGCCTAAACAGACTTGTAGGAACAAACAGGACATCGATTGCATTTCCGGTTAAAAAATTAGAAGGAAAAATGTAAAACACAAGGCTTAAAAGGCCCGTTCGGGGGCCGAAATTTTGAAATGACCACTGAAACCATTGAAACTAGTAATTGACAGCCTTTTGAAGCCTAAATAGACTTTTAGGAACAAAGGGGACCTCTATTGGATCAATGGTTAGAAAATTAGAAGGAAAATTGTAAAATAAAATACTAAAAAGGCCCGTTCGGGGGCCGAAATTACGAAATGACCCCCGAAACTACCCTGAAACTTGGCACAGACAGCTTGTTCAAGCCTAAATAGACTTGTAGGAACAAACGGGACCTCGATTGGATCCCCGGTTAGAAAATTAGAAGGAAAATTGTAAAACACAAGACTTAAAAGTCCCATTCGGGGGCCGAAATTACGAAATGACCACCGAAACCACCGAAACTTGGCACGGACTGCTTGTTCAAACCAAAATAGACTTGTAGGAACAAATGGGACCTCGATTAGATTTCCGATTAGAAAATTTCAAGAAAAAATGTAAAACACAAGACTTAAAATGCCCGTTCGGGGGCCGAAATTTCGAAATGACCATTGAAACCACCGAAACTTGGCACGGACAGCCTTTTCAAGCCTAAATAGACTTGTAAGAACAAACGAGGCCTCTATTGGATCTCCTGTTAGAAAATTAGAAGGAAAATTGTAAAACACAAGACTTAAAAGGCCCGTTCGAGGGCTGAAATTACGAAATGACCACCGAAACCACGAAAACTTGGCACGGACAGGTTGTTCAAACTTAAATAGACTTGTAGGAACAAACGGGACCTTGATTGGATTTCTGGTTAGAAAATTACAAGAAAAAATGTAAAACACAAGACTTAAAAGGCCCGTTCGGGGGCCGAAATTGCAAAATGATCATGAAACCACTGAAACTTGGCACGGACAACTTGTTCAAGCCTAAATAGACTTGTATGAGCAAACAGCACCCAATTGGACTTCCCGTTACAAAATTAAAATCAAAATTGTGAATTCATATCGATGTTTTTTTTTTTTGTCAATCTAATATTGTTTTTTCTTTTTTCATGTGACAGATTGGCAATGGTGGAAAACAGTTCGGGCTGCATCAGAAGATTTGATTTTGTGTTTTTGGAAATATTTTGACATAGGATTTTGGTAAATAATTTATGGATTAAATGTTTAGCATCAAAATATTTAGTTTTGTGTTTTTTGAAAATATTTTGACATAGGATTTGGTAATATATTTATGGGTTTGATGTTAGTAGTTTGTAAGTACTTTGGTATGCATGTTTTAGATTGTCAGAGAATTGTAATTATGTTTATTGGGATTTTTCATAGCTATTAATTTTGAATTAGTATGAATGTCTTGCACAGGGGTATTATTATTTACATTACATTTGTGTATATATTGTGCACAGGAAAACAGGTGTTTTGGATTATTTTGAACATGAAAATTATTAAAATCAAAATTTGTGTAGTGAATTTTTAGTGGCAGGTGGTGTTTTTGTCGCTGTTAATATATTTAGCGGCAACATATTGTTTTTGTCGCTAAAAGTTAGTGGTTATTCCAAGAAATTTTAGCAACCAAAACTTACTCGTTGCTAAAACGTTATTTTTAGCGACCAAATTAATTTTTTCGTTAAATAGTACTTTCGGCGACGTATTTATTTGTCGCTAAAACTACATAGCCTATCCAAATTTTAACCTTTTAGCAACAAATTGTAATTTTATAACGACAAAATATATGATTTTTGGCAACCAATTTTGCTTGTCGCTAAATGTCTACATACGATGACAATTTCTGATTTCGTCGCCAATACTTTTAGTGACAGGGTTTGGTGACCAATTGTATACTTTGTCGCCGATTCTTTTGGCGACGAAATTTGTACTTTTGGCGACAAATTTTTGGGTCGCCAAATGTGTTTTTTTGTTGTAGTGAAACCACAAGGTATTCACTCTCAAGGGCTAAGATTTTAGCTCTAGAATCTCAGCAATGAGCCTTAAATTTTTGATTTAGGAAGTGTATGTATATTGCAAGATAGAGAGAGAGAGAGAGAGAGAGAGAGAGAGAGAGATTTGGACAAGTTTTTAAGCTTCGGCAAATTTTTCTCACCTAAAATCATGAGGGATGGTCAAGTATATATAGAAAAATAGGTGCCTCAGTCGAAAATATCTCTATTGAGCCAGCTGGTGTAGTGCATGCACATGGGGGGACAGTTGGCAACAAATATCTTCCTTCCAGGAAACCTGGTTGGCCAGCTAGGTAGGGGGATGGCCGGCCACTAAAAGTTGGCCTGCCAGCCACCTGTTGGCCAATAGGCCTTTGAACGACCAGGCTAGAAAAAAATTAGGTTTTGGTCTAAAGGGGGTGCCAGGTTCTAGGCTCTAAAGCTCAAACAGAAGCTTCTTGCTGAGGAAATCGAACATTTATACAGCGTAGTATTTTATCATTGAGTGTTCAACTTGAGGTGCCCAAGTCTTGAGGGTGGTCAAAAATGGGGTGTCTACAGTGGCCTCAAGCTCGAGCATAATTAACGAGCCGACTGCGAGCTTCGCCTCAGCCCCAAACCCTTCTTCTGTCATTGTTGTTGTTGGTTTCTTCTGGGCGATCCATGGTTTATCCCTTCTTCTACGAGTAAGTCTCCTTTTGTCACCACGGCCACTAGAGCGAGCTCTTGTGCGCACTAACTCCAAATCCGAAACTACAACGTCGCTAAAACTTTCACTGGAGAAGTCAAAGGTATCTGGGCAATAAGGGAAATCCATCCTCAAAGAAAAATCAGGAGAGAGAGAGAGAGAGAAAAAAAAAAGAAGAGATATTCCTAGCCAGCAATGTTAGGTATCATGAAAAGTCTTTCATGAAAATAATCATGAAAGATTTATGACCTTTGGATTACACTTAGAATAAAGGACCACACACTAATCAAGGTAATTTATGGGTCACAAATCTTTCATGATCATTTTTATGAAAAAAAATTTGATGATCCCTAACATTTCTCTGCCCAGCAACGGGAAATGGAGTGTAGATAAGGCCACATAATAGTAGCTTCAAGTGGATATAAATGACCTGCAAATAATTCTGCACCTTTTCATAAACTATCAAAAGTTAAAAGTCAAAGCAATCTTGAGGGCCACTAAATAGGCCTGCCAGATTCATGTTTGGTCAGCCAATCATAAATGTTCCGACAGGGTCTGGAAAATCTCTTTGAGTGATTTGACGGGTTTTAGTGTGCAATTGTGGTCAATCTTAGCTAAAACAAAGGCAATGATATGTTTTTAGATCTCATAATGGCAAAGTGTGCTAAAAAATGTGTCTAAATATGTGTTCCGAGGAAGAACATGCAAGAGTTGGGGATCATCCATTGGCAAAAGGTAGTTATATATATATACCTCAAATGGCAGAGTTAGTTATAACCAAGAGATTACAAAAGCTTTTATTGCGTTCTGATGGCTACGTTATGACTTAAAAAGCTATACAAAGAAAAGAAAAAAGAAAAAAAACCAGAAGAGATAAACAAAAATTGGGACTAATCGATGACACAAATTAAGCGGCAGGTGCAACCATCCCAAGAGGTAACAGATTGCCAACTCCACCAGGCTTGTCATCATCATCACTAGTTCCACCATGATGATCACTACTACTGGGATAAGGGTCGTTGAAGTACCTGTCAAATTCGTCACTCTCCTCATCGCTGCTAATGATGGTCACTTCGTGAGGAGAAACTTCGTCTTGCAAAAAGAAGAAGTATGAAAGTTAGTAGTGAAAGAGCTTGTCTACAATCATTCGGGGAAAAGATCAGTTTCAGATATTAAAGCATGTAATCTTATGGTAGAGATCAAGGAAGTTTATGGTAGAGATCAAGGAAGTGTGGAGGACATGGGCCCGGTAGTAAGGGTCCTCATCTACGTCCTCATCCTCAGCGACATCTCATATCTCGTCTTTCTCTAGGATCTTGCCCGAACCATAATAGCGCCATCTACCATGGGTACATGTTTGAATAGACTTGTCATCCGCTGACTGTCCATGGCCCTTACCACCGCTACCACTACAGGAAATATGAGTTTTGACGATGTTTTTTTAATGGTGTTTTATGAAACGCCACGTTTTATAATATTTAAAGACGTTTTTTAAACGCCATATTTTTTAATATCAAAATGGTGCGGTTTAAATATTTGAAGGCCTTAGAAAAGCCTTCAAATATCCTCTCTCTATATAGGCGAGCTGGTGAATACCCTAATCACTTACGCACTCATTTGTTTATCGTTCAGTCTCTC